GACGACGTGACTGTACGTGCTCCGGACGTGCACCCCGCGAAGCGAGAGGAATCTACGTCAGGAAGTGACGTGTTGCGGGAGGCAGGTCGCGCAGCGGAGCGGAAGCCCTAATGCAACAGATCCTTTACATCGAATCATTGCCTAATTGCCGTTTATCAAAAGGTTGCATAATTGCTACACGTTGCACTGCTCTACGCTATTAGGTACCCCCCCCTAACCCCCCGCCCCAGGCCACGCCACTTCCGCCGACCAGGGTGCCCCCCCCCTTCTGGTGCCCAAAAACGTCCAAAGAATTCATGGAAATCGACGATTTGGACCAAGAGGGCCCAAAGACGGCTGAAGATGGGCTCAAGAAGGCCCAAGACGGCCCCGAGACGGTCCAAAATTGTCCCAAGAAAGCCCAAAAAGCCCCCAAGACGGCCCAAGAGTGGCCCAAGCGCCCACAAGAGCGCCTCCAAAGCCAAAATCATTGATTGTTCCGTTGGTTTTTGAAGGATTGTAGCGTTCTCACCTTGTTCGACTCTCAAATGCGCATGACGGCCCAAGCAGCCTCCAAAATGACACCAAGACGGCCCAAAAAGCCCCCAAGAGGGCCCCAAGACGGCCCAAAGAGGCCACCAAGTGCCCCAAGACGGCCCAAGAGGACCCCAAGAGAGCCCCAAGGCAGCCCAAAGAGGCCCGCAAGACGGCCTCCGAAGAGGTCAAACGGCGCAAAAGCGCCGCAAGACGGCCTAAGACGCCCCCAAGAGGCCCCAAGAGGTCCCCAAGAAGCACCCAAGAGGCCCCAAGAAGCCCCCAAGAAGCCCCCAAGCGGCCCCCAAAAGGCCCTCAAAAGGCCCCACAACGACTGGACTGCACGTGCTCCGAAAGTGCACCCCGCGAAGCGAGAGGAATCTACGTCCGGAGGTGACGTGTTGCCGGAGGCAGGTCTGCAGAGGCGATAATGCAACGTATCCAATGTATCCAATGACTGCACAATTGCTGCATATTGTATTGTGTTACATTATTATGTCTCCTCCCCTACCCCCCCCCCCCCCAAGAACACGCCACTTCCACCGACGCAAGGTGGCTCCTCCCCTCCTGGGCCTAAAAACCTATCAAAACCTTCAGAAAATCAATGAGTTGGGCCTGTCGGCCCTCTTGGGGGCCAAACGAAGCCTCAAGACAGCTCGAGATGGCCCCAAGACGGCCCAAGACGGCCCCAAGACGGATCAAGATGGCCCCAAGAGGGCCTACAAAGACCCCAAGACGCCCCAAGAAGGCCCCCAGAGGACGCCCAAGAGCACCTCCAAAAGCCAAAAACAATTGTTTCTATTGTTTTTTTGAAGACTTCAGCGTTCCCGCCTATTTCGACCCTCAGAGGCCCAGGACGACCGAAACAGCCTCCGAAGTGGCCGCCAGACGGCCCAAGAAGCCCTCAAGAGGGCCCCAAAACGGCCCAAGAGGGCCCCCACAGCCCAAAGAGGCCGCTGAGATGCCCCAAAAGGACCCCAAGACGGCCCAAGAGTACCCCAAGACAGTCTCCGAAGGGACCAGACATCGCAAGCGCGCCCCCAAGACGCCCACACGGGGCTCGGCTCCGAGAGGCCCCCAAAAGGCCTCTCAGAGGCCCCCAAAAGACCTCCCAGACGCCCCCGCGAGGACCCAAGAGGCCCCAAAGAGGCCTCCGAGGGGCCCCCAAGAAACTCCCTGAGGCCCGACAACGACTGGACTGTACGTGCTCCGGACGTGCACCCCGCGAAGCGAGAGGAATCTTGTTTAATGGGGCACGGGGGGGGGGGGTGCACGAGCTCCTCGGTGCCCCCCTGGAGACCCTGGAGCTTCCAAATCTGCCGTGCCGTAGACGGTCCCGAATCGCCGAACGTTTGGCCAAAGACGCCCACGATGGCTACAAGACGCCCCAAGACGCCTTCGAGACGCCCCAAGAGAGACCCAAGAGCCTTCCCAGGAAGGTCCCGAGACACAAAAAAAAATATCCCGGCAAAGCAACCTAACAGCGATGTGTAGAAGCATATCTGAAAGCATTCCCCTTAAGATTCAGATGAAAATCCAGTTGTCGAATTCTGCTGTTCTCGCAGTCGTAGTCGCATTCGCGATGACAGTCGCAGCGGCAACGGCAGTCGCAGTCACAGCCTCAGCCTCAGCCTGCCTCCTCCTCCTCCTCCTCTTTCTCCTGCTCCTCCTCCTCCTCCTCCTCCTCCTCCTCTTCCTCCTGCTCGTCCTCGTTCTCGTCCTCCTCGTCTTGCTCGTCCTCCTCCTCCTGGTGCTCTCCTCCTCCTCCTCCTCCTCCTCCTCCTCCTCCTCCTCCTCCTCCTGGTGGTCCTCGTTCTCCTCCTCCTGGTGCTCTCCCCCCCCTCCTCCTCCTCGTCCTCCTCCTCCTCCTCCTCCTCGTCCTCCTCCTCCTCTCCTCCTCCTCCTCCTCCTCCTCCTCCTGGTAGTCCTCCCCCTCCCCTCCTCCTCCTCCCATCCTCCTCTTCCTGGTCGTCCTCGTTCTCGTCCTCCTCGTCTTGCTCGTCCTCCTCCTCCTGGTGTCCTCCTCCTCCTCCTCCTCCTCCTCCTCCTCCTCCTCCTCCTCCTCCTCCTCCTCCTCCTGGTGGTCCTCGTTCTCCTCCTCCTGGTACTCTCCCCCCCCCTCCTCCTCCTCCTCCTCGTCCTCGTCCTCCTCCTCCTCCTCCTCCTCCTCCTCCTCCTCCTCCTCCTCCTCCTCCTCCTCCTCCTGGTACTCCTCCCCCTCCCCTCCTCCTCCTCCTCCTCCTCCTCTTCCTGGTCGTCCTCCTCCTCCTGGTCGTCCTCCTCCTCCTGCTCGTCCTCCTCCTCCTCCTGCTCGTCCTTCTTCTCCTGCTCCTCCTGCTCCTCGTCCTGCTCCTGCTCGTCCTCGTCCTCCTGGTCTTGCTCGTCCTCCTCCTCGTCGTGCTCTTGCCCCTGCTGAAAATGTGGCCCAGGAATGGGAGTTCTGGGAAGTCGAAGAGCACGAAGTTGCCTACAGTTGGCTACGGGCATTCAAAATGTGGCCCGGGAATGGAGTTCTGGGAACTCGAAGAGCACGAAGTGGCCTACAGTTGGCTCCGGGCATTCAAAATGTGGCCCGGGAATGGAGTTCTGGGAACTCGAAGAGCACGAAGTGGCCTACAGTTGGCTCCGGGCATCCAAAATGTGGCCCGGGAATGGATTCTGGGAACTCGAAGAGCACGAAGTGGTGACTGTTGCATCCGGGCTCCAAAATGTGGCCCGGGAATGGAGTTCTGGGAACTCGAAGAGCACGAAGTGTGTGACTGTTGCATCCGGTTATTCTAAATGTGGCCCGGGAATGGCGTTCTGGGATCTCGAAGAGCACGAAGTGTGTGACTGTTGCATCCGGTTATTCAGAATGAGCCTGGGAATGGAGTTCTGGGAAGTCGAAGAGCACGAAGTGTGTGACTGTTGGTGAAAAACGAGGTCGGCACAGGCCCGCCCGGCAACTCCCAACACCTGCCCGGACCCCCCTGTGGAGTGATCTGTGACCTCTTTTGACACTACTAGAAACCTATCAGTCTTCGCTGTTAGGTAAATAGTTTTCCTTACATGTTTCGTTATCTCTGAGGTTATCGTTTTCTCGAGCTTCCGACGCTCCAAGACGGCCCACGAGGCCCCGTCGACCACCCAAGACTGCCCAAGAGGACCCTACGAGGGCCCCAGGACGGCCTAAGAGGGTGCCAAGACGGCCGAAAGAGGGGCCCAAGATAGCCAAAGATCGCCCCAAGACGGCCCCAAGAGAGGCCAAAAGGGAGAGAACACGAACCGAAAATCCAATCCTTCTGCCCCAAGAGGCGCTCCCGAAGCCCCAAGAAGCCCCTAAGCAGTCCAAAAGAGGCCCCCAATAAACCCCAAGAGGCCCCCAAGAGGCCAAAAGGAGGCCCCAAAAAGGCCCCCGAGACACAAAACTGCCTCTAAGAGGCTCAACCAGGCCCCCAAAACAGTTCCCAAGATGCCCACGAGAGTCCCAAGCTAGTGCCCAAGAAGCCCACGGCACCTCGGCCGTGGACTCCCCGCCTCTTGCGGGGGCCCCGCGGCATGGCGTCAGCCTCTTGAACACTCTCAATGGAGCCCAACTCGAAACTGACACAACTCTCCCTCCCCACATCTCGGGTACTCCAGATTTCGTAATAAAGGGAGGGGGGTCTCATTTCGGGGGGGGTCTCTTCCAGGCTATCTTGGAGGGCCTGGGGGGGTCTGGGGACGACGTTTTGGAGGGTTCTCCCACGGGGGAGGGGTCTGAAATAGCTCGTCTTGGAGGGTCCAGACCCCCTCCCTTTTATTACGAAATCTGGAGTACTCTGGATGGGGCAACAATCGCCCCCAAGGGGCACGCAGGAAAATGGAAGGGGACAGGGAGGGCGGCTGAAGGAGGAGCGAGGGAGCGCGGGCCGCTCCAGGGACGGGGGTCGTCTGGAGCGAGTGGCGCGGCCGGCCCCGGCTGCAAAACAAGACACGCAAGGCACACAATGCACGGATGTTCGCGCGCCGGTCACTCGCGAGATCCCGCGCGCATGGCACGCAGACAACTTCGCCAGGGCAACCTCTTGGACAGGCCAGCGAGAGTCGGGGCAACCTCCCAAAGACAACCCCCCTGAGCAATCTTCCACGGGATTTGTTCGCACGCAACATGGGCCGCCGACCCCCAGCTTACCGAAGGTGTTAAGGTATGAAGGCGTGTGAGATGAGTGGCTGTCCCCTTCCCCAGTGTCCCCCTCCCCCTTCTGCGGCAACTCCTGGGAGCCTCCCATACCATTTTGGCTGGCTCTTACGAACCGGCGCTGGTCCACGCGAAATCGACGCCAATCGGCGCCAAACCGGCGCGGCCCCATCCAGGAACAGACGCTCGTGGACGCGACTGCACTCGAATGACGGAATTTTACACATGCAGAAAGGGCTCCCATGATTTGCGACCGAACCCCCAGACATCCGGAATGCGACGACGACCGACCGGCGACGACGACCCCGGCGAGGCGGGCGCCCGGGGCCTTGGCGAGTGCGAGCAGGAGCTTGGCAACGTCATCCACGCTCCACGCCTCTGCCGCGGGCGCAGCTGGCGCGCCCAGACACGGACGGAAGACAGGACGGAGGCGGGGGGAGGGGAGGGGAGGGGAAGGGGGAGGAGAGGGGAGGGGAGGGAGCAGGGGGCAGGGACGAGGAGTGGGCGGGACGAGGCGGCAGCGCGACGGCTGCCAGGAGCAGCACCGCGGCGGCTGGTCGATGATCCTCGGCACGTGTGCTGGCGCAGGCTCGCGCGCGCCCACCGACGCCCCTCCATACACGACGCGTGCGGGCGGTGCAGTGAGGGCCCCTACTGCAGGCTGCGCGCCTACCGGTGGAGCTGGGGAGACCAAAAACGCACCGACACCGCTGCTCCCCGGACCTCTCCAGGGGTGCGCTCTGACCAGGATCTGAGGCGAATGCAGCGGTGGCGACGACGAACTCCGAGGAGGCCCAGGCAGGGGAGAACGGGCGACGGATAGAGGCATGGTAGGGGGCAAACACACCTGCCTCGCTTTTGACCACCCTCGCTCCCAAGAGATGCCAAACGATGCAAAACTACGGTGGTGTGACTGGAAGCGAAAGCGGGGCAGGCAATTCACGCTCTGATATGGGTACCTCCTCCTCCCCGGAGGAGCGGAGAGCTTATGCTTAGGCTTAGGCTTAGGCTTGAGCTTAGGCTTAGGCGTAGGCTCAGGCTTGGGCTTATGCTTGGGCTTGGGCTTAGGCTTAGCTTAGGCTTGGGCTTAGGCTTGGGCTTGAGCTCAGGCTTAGGCTTAGGCTCAGGCTTGGGCTTAGGATTGGGCTTCGGCTCATGCTTAGGAGTAAAGACACGCGCTGGGCCAGTACACGTCCTGAGGCTGGCGGGGCGCCCCCGCCCCTGGCGGCAGTCACTCGAAGCGCTCTCGGCCAGCGCGACGGCCGACGCCGGCACGGGCCAGCGCAGGAGCGGCCCCTCGTCGAGGAGGAGCAGCAGCAGGCAGAAACGTGCCAAGCCAAGCCGTCCCGTGGCCCGCCCGTCCAGCCAGACTCCAGGGGGATCCAGGGCGTCAGCAGGCTGCTCTGGGACACGGCCGCTCTCTGGGGATGTCCTTAGCACCCGGTGCCCCCGAAGTCTCAGGACCGTCTGACGGCAGACCGCTCGGCGTGGTCTCTGGGACTTTCCGAAGTCGTCAGACCATCTGTCACAAGACGGTGCCGAGACCTCTGATGTCGGGATCTTCGACAACGTGATCCACCGCCGCTTTACTGTGGAAAATTCCCCCCCTTCTTCCTCCGGAGCCCGGGGGACCCCCGTGAAAAAAAGAGAACGCCCCAGGGGTCCGTTCCCGTTCCCGTTCCCGTTCCCGTTCCCGTTCCGTTCCCGTTCCCGTTCCCGTCGTCGTCGTCGTCGTCGTCGTCGTCGTCGTCGTCGTCGTCGTCGTCCCGTCGTGGTCGTCGTGGTCGTGGTCGTGGTCGTCGTCGTCGTCGTCGTCGTGGTCGTCGTCGTCGTCGTGGTCGTGGTCTCCGTCCACCCTGAAGGGGGGTCAAGAGGGAGGCTCCAGAAAGGCTGCGGACGCTTGGAGGCGTGTTGGGCTCTCCTGAGTAGTAGTAGTAGTAGTAGTAGTAGTAGTAGTAGTAGTAGTAGTAGTAGTAAAGTAGTAGTAAAGTAGTAGTAGTAGTAGTAGTAGTAGTAGTAGTAGTAGTAGTAGTAGTAGTAGTAGTAGTAGTAGTAGTAGTAGTAGTAGTAGTAGTAGTAGTAGTAGTAGTAGTAGTAGTAGTAGTAGTAGTAGTAGTAGTAGTAGTAGTAGTAGTAGTAGTAAGTGGTCGTAGTAGTAGTAGTAGTAGTAGTAGTAGTAGTAGTAGTAGTAGTAGTAGTAGTAGTAGTAGTAGTAGTAGTAGTAGTAGTAGTAGTAGTAGTAGTAGTAGTAGTAGTAGTAGTAGTAGTAGTAGTAGTAGTAGTAGTAGTAGTA